GGTCGTATAAAAAAGCCAGGGGGAACCCCTGACGGACCTCCCCGTAGAGGCTAAGGGGCTCTCCCTACAACTTTGCCGAGACCAGCGACCCAGGTTCGCACTCGAGGGGGCTCGGCAAACAAACCCCTCCTTCCGAACAAAAAGGTTGTGCGAGGGTCGTACAAAAAGCCAGGGGAACTCTTGACGGCCCTCTTACTCTGGGCAGAGGCTAGGGAGCTCTTCCTGCAGATATGTTGAGGCCCCACGACCCAGGTTTGCACCCGAGGGGGTCACAGCAAACAAACCCTCATGCGCGAGAGGCGTATAAAAAGCCAGGAGAGCACCTGACGGCCCTCTCGCTCTGTGCAGAGGCTAGGGGGCTCTTCCTGCAAAGTTTGCCGAGACCCAGCGACCTGACCTTGCATTCACGGGCCCGGCAAGCACGATGAGACCCCTTGCTCAACGGAGAAAAAAGCCCCTGGAGGAGTAAACCCACTCCTCCAGGGCCTCGGGGGCTACACCCGGCGGGTGCGCTCGCGTGCACCCACCAGAACCACCAAGTACAAAACACGATCCCGACAGGAGCTGTTGCGAACCAAGTCTCGTCAAAAACCTCAGGAGAGTGCCCGCACTCCTCCCGAGGCTCGGGGGCTACTGTCGGATACCACAAGAAGGGGTACCCTAAGCAAGATCCAAGAATATTGTTTAAGCCTTGCTAAAACCAAAGCCAAAAGACTACTACAAGGTCTTGGCAGAATTCTCCGATTCACCCGAGGCCTTGCGCCGAGGCCTCATGCGAAACAGGCCTAAAACATCCTGCTGAGGCCCTCTCGCCGAGACCCTCTCGCCAAGGCCTCGCCCCGAAAGGCCTCCGACGGATCTCCAATTCTACGATTCGCTCGAGGCCGGGCTCGGCGAACGTACTCGTAACCTCCGTCCCGACCGAACTCCTCTGGCAAAACGTCATGTCCGGATTAAATGCACCCAACCGCTCCCGCAAACGTCAGCCGCACGCAGGTACAGTGCGGGTAGAACAACTGACAGGACAGGGACCGGGCACAGCAGGGGTTATCTGCCACTATACTCACCACTGTGCTCCCTCCGAACACTTATATTGCCCTGTGCTACCTAACCCCTGCGCCAAGGACAAAGCGGCATGGAAGGTCGAGTCCATGTCCCTGTAGCCTCGGAAACAGCAGGAGAGCCCAGCTGCTCGGTCTCTGCCTCGTCCGAGACCCCCCGGCAAGGCCTCGGAAGTGCCATTCCTTCTCCGCCTCGGCCGAGGCCGGGCTCGTCCCGCATTCTCGTCGCCTCCACCCCAATTGCCCCTCTGGCGGGCCGTCCCATCCGTGTAAGTACCCCTAGTTACGCCTACGTCAGCCACGATTGGCAGGGTATGGCAAAAGGGGCGATGGGACGACGGTCAAATCACCTTTTTACCATCCCCTACTGACGGTGCAGAGACTACAGCTCCCTGCGGACACCCATTCTGCACTTTTTCACCGGAATCGGGTACGACACAGACCACCGAGACCCCCACGTCGTACATAGGTCACCTCCGAGGCCTCGGCAAAGAAGGCCTCGGCACGATCAGCTCCAGCACCCGCTAGGCCTCGGCACTCCACCAGGACAAGAGTCCACCAGGCACGGCATGTCACCTACAGTGGAGGCCATACTGACTAGACGTCAATAAGGACTCTTACGACTTCAACAGCCTCGGGCATGGCCTGCGTGACGCACTGGTGATCAAGTACCAATTGTCATTCCTGACACTGTGCTACTACAGGAATAGGCCACAGTACTGGATCTTCCTTTCTCGCTAAGGCTCCACGTGTAGCTCTCTCATGTACTCCTGGCTCCCTCCTTGTGGCTATAAAAGGAAGCAGCCAGGGCCGTTTCTAGGGATCGAAACCACGCCAGCCCTCACGCAAAAACGCACTCACTCAATTCACGCGCGCTCCCACGCTGCCTAAGAGCAACGACTCAAGCAGCCCGCACCATTCCACGCCGAGACCTGGGACTAGCTCCCTCTCTCACCCAGCTTGTAACCCCCTACTACAAGCACTTCGGTGCAGAGAATACAAGATTGATCTCCTAGACTGGACGTAGGGCGCCGATTGCCTGAACCAGTATAAACCTTATGTCTCTTTGCATCACCATCCGGGATTAGGGGCACGCAGTTCACATTTACTGGTTGGTTGAGGACCCCCGGTCCGAAACGCCGACATCGTGTAAAATACAAAAATATTTACTCGTAAATACTTCCTCCTTCCTGTAATATAGTGTATTATTATGAAAAATTTAGGATAAATTAAGAGAGCATACAAAAGATGTATATGCCTGAGGGTGGTGTTCGCTAGATCTAGAGTCTTGATCGGCGAGGGTTCTCTTCTGGATCTTGGTGGTTTCTGTTTAGGTGGTTTGTCTGGCACTTCAATCAGGAGTTCCATGTTCTGGGAAGGGGATGGGGAGTTCGTACTCTTCCCTTTCGATCTATGACACAACAACATAGTTCTTCTCCTGTGTTTTCCTTGGGTGGCAACAATGGATTAGCATCAAGCTTCTTGTGGGGCGTTGCCCCGACCGAGGGTCTTTCATCGGTGTTTTTGCTATCTCTTGGGATGGGCTTCTTTTGCAGTTTATGTAGCCCTTTATGGCGTTCTTTGCGGATGCATCTTTAAGGATGGTTGTGGAGGCTGTCCCTTTCTCTTTGATGTTGCTTGCGAGAAGACGATGAAGAGTTCTGCGTCGAGGAGTTGCCGGTCACGAAGAGACGTCGCTATTGTTTGTGCTTGTTTTTTCCTATTACATAATGATGCTGTGGTGATGAGTACTGCATGAAGAAACAGGCAGATAAGTTCCGCTCTGAGCGCCAGTTTGCAGTTGGAGATTTGGTCTACCTCAAACTTCAGCCTTACATTCAATCGTCAGTCTCCAGACGTGCACATCAAAAGCTTGCTTTCAAGTTCTTTGTGCCGTATTGTGTCTTGGAACATGTCGGCAAAGTGGCTTATCGTTTGGAGCTTCCTCCTTCTGCATCAGTCCAGCCGGTGTTCTATGTTTCCCAGTTGAAACTCTCTGCCGGAACCAGACTGTGAGCTCTACTCTTCCTACTGATTTGGTTGAGTTTCAGGTACCACTACGTATTCTGCAGCGACGTTGGTCTTCTGGTACGCATCCAGTTGAGCAAGTCTTGGTGGAGTATATCAAGCAGCAGTTTCCAAGGGCTCTGGCTTGGGGTCAAGCCGTTTCTCAAGCTGGGGGGGGGATGTCAGCAAAGCTACTTCTCAGGCCAGCTGCAGTCCGAGGAAGCCAACTCTGTTCCTGATGAGCGAAGCCTGATCCAAGCCCGGCCCAAGAGAACCACTCGGCCCAGTGTGCGCATCGCCCGGCCCGGAATGGAAGCACTAGCTATATGTAGTCGCTGAGAGGGATGGAGAGGGTTACGAACATTATTGTAACAAACCTCTCTGTACTTTTATTCAAGAACTTGTCGTTACTCCTGTTCTTCCGAGTTCCCTGCTTGTTCTTCCCCAATTCCTCCTTCCCTTTCCAGTTGATTGCTAACACTGAGCAGAGGTTGCACAGACGCGCCATAGAGGGCGTGGGGCGGGGCGACTAGTTTAACTATGACGATAACATTCGGGTCTTTTTTAGTAGTAGAGAAATGTTCAGTAATCGGTGAAGATCCTTCATACTTCTAAATTGACTAGGAACATGAGGGTATTTAACACATCAGCGTGCACGCAACTCTTAGTATGTGCAGCAGGTATGGCAGTATGATCTGGAAACACAATAAAGAAAGCACTATGTGATTGTAATGGTCTAGGCTGTTAATAGATTTGCCAAATGATTTCTGTAGTGCTCAAAGCTAACATTGGTGGCACCTGGCAGTATTATGTTTCATTTGTAAAAGAAATTAGTAGTTGATGGTCATGGTCATATGAGGAGTTCTTGATTGACGCTGTTTATGTGCTGTCACTTTCCTGCTAAACTAAGTTTCCAATGTGACTTGGCTATGTGCCTATGTATCCTCCTTGGAATGTGATTGATGAATGTATCCCTGCAGTAATGATTATCATCCAATTGTAACACATGGATATAGATTATTATGTTAGCTTCCAACAACAAATAATAGTTCTAAAAAGTAAGTTAATCTTTTTTATCCTGACAAAATTTCTACAAGAGATTTCTAACTATATGGGAAGAAGAATTTAACATCTTGATTTTGGTCTAAACAAGATGTTGGGCCAAGACTAAATAATATCTCGTGAAAATGTGTGACTCCCGTTACAACGCACGGGCTCTCACCTAGTTTGAAAAAAGAACCATCCAAATGTGTCAAAAAACAATTCCAACAAAAAAGGGAATAGATCAATGATGAAAAATTATATGTTTATGTAAAATTTTCCATGCAACAAAAATCTATGCAAGATAAAAAAAAAGCGAAACCAACACTTAAATAGTTGCAGGTTTTGGTCAGACACGAACAATATAGATTCGAGCACGGACGGACCTAGAAAATCTGCTAAGTCCAAGACTGAACCATGTAATAAAGAATTAAATTATTTTTCCTTTAATTTATATAGCTAATGAAGGAGTAAGTTTATTTGGAGTTTTGTAGCCCATGACAGCACGGGCAGCCCTGCCCCTAGGTCCGCCACTAGTTCAAGTACTGAATTCACCTTTGTTATCTCTTTTTATAGATTTTTGTTGCACCTTACATTTTTTTATGAGCATAGAACTTTGCAGCATCTATCATTCATATTTTTGTTGGAACTTGGCTTTCTTCAAAGAAATGACTATGGGAGCATGGAGAGCACAAGATACATTCTCCCTCGGTGACCACCGATCGGTGATCTGACGGCGTGGATCCGATGCCGATCCAATGACCCAAGAGACCCGATTGCACAAGCCCATCCCGGCCCGTTCCACCGCGCGGCCTCCATTTCCCCTAACACAGCCGAGAGGAAGCCGGCGGCGGCGAGGAGAATCCAATAGAACGCGAGCAGGCGGCAGCGATGGCATGGCGGGCGAGCCTGTCTCGGAGCGTGAAGGAGATCCGCGTCCTCTTCTGCCAGTCCTCACCGGCCAGCGCCGCTGCCCGGTACAAACCTCGCTCCTCTCTCCGATTCTTCCCGTCCGATTTGACTCTCTAAAGCTGCTGCTTCTGATTTGGTGCGTTACCGATCTGGTCGCCCGCAGGGAGTTCGTGAAGAAGAACTATGGTGACATCAAGGCCCGCAACCCCTCCCTCCCCTTCCTTGTCCGCGAGTGCTCCGGTGTCCAGCCTCAGCTCTGGGCTCGCTACGGTACGCATCCATCCATTTCTTCATCTTTCTTTCTCCTGCCGTGGCTGAAGATCTGATGTTGATTGGTTGGAGCCATTTCTTGGGTGGATTTCATATCTTTGCCTGCCGTGTGGAATTGCTCAATCTGCACTGCCGGATCTTGCCGTTGGAGGTTTGTTCATATAGAAATGACGTGCATTTGAGGGAAGAGGAATTTAGGTGATTAGATTTATGAGAAATAAGTGTATAAATGTAAGCCCCATGTTGGTTTGTCATACTCAACTATAAACCTGCTAGAGTTTCTGCAATGAGAACCTGTTGGGGCCAATCCCTACGTTTATATGTGCTCTGCATCAGCATTCTGGTCGATGACAATGGTCTGTACCAGCATTTTATTCAGTAACTGCTAAATTTCCGGCGGAGCCCCTTGTGGTTTTATGTGATGTTCTATTTTATTGTAGAGTAGACAATGCTCAACTTTACAGTCATGGTCAGACTGTACCTCCACACACACAGTGTCTTGTATTCCCTCCGTTCCAAATTATATGTTGCATTAGCTTTGTCCTAAGTCGAACTTCTTTATTTTCGACTGAGTTTACGGAAAAATGCACCAACATCTACAACACTAGATTAGTTTCATTTAATTCGCCATGAAATATGTTTTGGTAGTTTAGTATTGAACCTGTAGATGTTAATGTAGTTTCCTAAATGTTTGGTCAATTTACATAAGTTTGACACAGGACAAAGCTAAAGTGTTCTATAATTTGGAACGGAGGGAGTAGTTTGTATTTTGTTTTCTCAGTTTCCCTACCTGCAGGTGCTGATTTTATATATTAATGACACTGATTTAATTTCACAGCCATATTGCAGTTCATGCTGTAAAGAAAATACCATGAAATTTGCTCTTAAAATGTTTAGCTTACTATGACCATAAGCACATACGGAACTATACTAAACTAGGTCAGGAGTGCTAAACAATTAAATGACTTGTGATTTGTTGCTTATAATCCCCAAACCCTGCTTATTGGATATGTGCATTAAGCTGTTCTTTTAACTTAGTTTTTGGGGTCTTTCCTGACCATTGACAACTGAGAACCACCAGGATTAAAGAAGTCTCATAGTTCCAAGAGGTCAAGATACCCTAAAAGGTTAAAACCCATCCTTAGTTTGTGTAGCTGGAGTACCAGATGTGGTTGCTGGTGCAGGCTCGGTATGTGGACCAAAATACATGCAAAGAATGTGAGATGAGGAGGTAACCAAATTGTAATGAGCTTCAAGGAAGATAGCATCTGTTTGGTGGAATGGCTTCATATGCTTTAAGCCAAGCACTCCTGGAACAATTTGGAAAGATGTAGGATTAGTATCACGATCTCACCTCCTAAATTCACTAATGTCTTCTCATGATCTATGTCCTGAGCATTTGATTTCCAGGGAACTAGATTTTATGCTTCTCAGCTAGACAAGCTGGAATAACCTCTGTTTATGGTACCAACTTTATCTTATTTTGGCAGATAAGTAACTCATAGGCTTCACTAATCAGTGGTGTTAGAGACTAGATCATCAATATGCGTTAAAAACATTGCATTAGATTATTGATTCTATTTTCCTTCTATGCGTCCACTACCTTAGCTGAAAGAATGTGGAGAGCCATCAACCCATCATTATACAAGGCAATATTTTGTTATGTTTAAGAATTTTGTTTTACAAATGCACATTATATTTCAATGTGTCATTATTTCAAAACTTCTAGGCGCTAGGCAAGAGGTGGCCGAAGGGGTTCTGCCTAGCACTTCGGCATTCCTAGGCGTTGCCTAGGCATTTCTACTTTCTATGGGTGATTAGTGTATTCGCATGAAAAATAATGAAAATTTCGCATATGAGAACAAAAAATGATATTATCATGCATACATGAGAATGATAATTGTAGTTCATGTGTCTCCATCTCTAATTTGTCCCATTTTCATACATATATCAAACTCAAAGTATCTCTACACGGGAAATGCCTAAATGAAAAGCTGGGCAAGGCGGTGCAGCTCTACCTATAGCAAGAGCATAGGTGGTGCTAGGCGTCACCTTTCTAAGCAGAGATATGTGGACATCGATGCAGTTTTAATGAACCGGATATATGTTAAGGAAATAATTTGTAATTTGTAGCATTGTTAATAATTTCATCTCTTGAATCCAATTTATACTAGGATGGATTATGTTTGAGGATGCAAATTTATGTTTTCAATGGATCACAAAGGTGAAACCTTGTTTACATATAGTTCCAGGCGTTCAACTGTTGTTGAACCTTTATGTTTGTTATTACACTTTACATAGCACCAGGAATGAGGGCATTGTCATGGGAAGGCTCACGTTGACCTAACTTGTCACCATAAATAAATAACACAGGCGCACCCTAGATACCTTGGGGGAAATTGGTTGCTGACTTTGTTGTCCTGGCTTGCGGAATCTAGTTTTTATTTTTCCAACCAAAAGCATAACCTTTCTGTTTCTCCTGTATTACGTGAAACACAGAACCCAACAAAGCTTAAGTGATGAACCTTCACATGGTGTCAGACAATGTATGGACATTGCATATTGACTATTGCATTCTACCTTCAACTAAAGAATATGTTCTTTGTATATAAAAAACTAGAGCATATGTTTGCTGTATTGTGTATCTACAAGATTATCATGCCAAAGTGGAACTTAGTGTTTGGCCCTAATCATCTCCTTTTATTCTACTGTCAGATATGGGTGTGGAGAGATGTGTGAACTTGGATGGCCTGACAGAAGCACAGATTGATAAGAAGCTGGAGGAGCTTGCCAAGGCCGGCTAGTCTCTTAAAACCAAATAGTTTTGGAACTTGCATCATGTCTTGTGTTTAATGTTCCCAAATAAAATATACCATATCAGTGGACAACTGTTACTCTATCATTGTTCCTGTAGTGCGTGGAATGAAGTCTTCAATTGGCTCTCTATCATTGTTCCAGTAGTGCGTGGAATGAAGTCTTCAATTGGCTCTCTATCATTGTTCCAGTAGTGTGTGGAATGAAGTCTTCAATTGGCTCAACTTAATGTGAAGATTACGTGCTATATTGAAAAGGAAACAATCAATGATTTGATAAGGAGATATATCTAGTACTTTTGGAATCGTGCTTGCTTCAGGGCAGTTATTGTGCATGATACTATAGTTCTGTGCATGACTTGAAATTGTGCAAACAAATGTATGATTATTCTTTATTTTTTCTATACTTTGATGGTACCTAGAATTTTTTTTCTATACTTTGATGGCACCTACAATTTTTTTATTTGTATTGCTATGGCATGCATATGTAACATCTCATATGTATGTCCCATAGAAAAAGTGAAGATATGCATTTAAAAGAATTGGAGAATTTGTGGGGATGGCTAAAAACATTACGCCGTGTGCCAATAGGCTATGTTGCATGTAGCCTTAGGCCAGTCTCCGTGGGGAGGGGGGAGGGGTTGATCTGAGCTTCAATTGCATTTAATACTACGACACATTAGTAGATTTGATGACTATTAGTAGATTTGATGACTTGATAGATTAATTATAAAGAGAGATAAAGAGAGTTTTATCTAGATGAAACTATCTTGACATGATTACTGACTCTATGAGTCATGGAATTAAATATTTATGAAACCGTAGAATAAAACTTTGCATAGGCCGAGTTGGTAGCTGAATCATATTGTTTTGTTGTTGTTTTGTTAAGTGTTGTTATTCTTCTCTCTTTCACTTGTCATGTACTACTCTGACCTTCAAGGGTCATCCCTATATTAGGTGCTCGGCATCCTTCATTCATAGCTTCGCTGGTATCTGGTATGAGTGAAAAATTATTCAGGTAGAGACATTTCGTTCGTTGATGGCGTCTTAAAAAAAAGGTGTAGAATAGAAGATTTCACTAGTTAATTTATTTATCTATTATTCCAATTCTTATTTTTATGTCACTTAACTTTTGTCCAGCAGGGGGCCTTGCTGTAAATAGGTCTTTTCAGAAAAGCCATATGAATGAATAGACATTATAGATATGCCATGCTACTCAACGGCTTTCTCTGTCTTTCTAAGTTGGTAGTCTAAAACTGATTATTACGTACGTACTGCCACAACATACGCACAAAACACACACACAAACACACACGCGCGCACACGCACCTAATAGTTCAATGTCTTGCAGCTCGATTGAATTGTACTTGTTTTCATAATAATTTATACCAATACGCACGAATTCTGATGACCAGTCGGGGTTTGGTTCCTTAATATTTTTCATGGCCTCCCATTTCTCTACAACACCATCTCCTCCTTCCAGCATAGCAACAATTTCAGACATCTTGGGGCGGTGGCAAGGTCTGCACATTGTCCGGAGCAAAGCAATTTGAACCATCTCCTCCAATTCAATCTCGTCAGTAGTTGCTTCTTAGCTTTTGGTCCGTAAACAAGCTTAGCTGATTTTGTTCAAGAAGTTCATTGGCACCGAAACATGAAGGCATTAATCATCACACTCAATTTTAAGAATAAAATTGAATGCACTAAACTCATGTGTGCCCAGGGATCAATCACACACATAAGCTGACAAATTATAAAAAGTATCATCATGGTGTATCTTACATCACGATTAATAATATAACATAGTCTTATACAACACAGCGGAAAATAAAAAGATAGCTCTCTCGTGGAAGCTCCAACACAGGGACGGTCAACTGGTTGACCACAAGCCTAATAGTCCTCAGGAAACTTCTCATATCCATTGACATCTGTACCCATTCAGGATTTTTATCCAAATATTGAAAGTAAACAAGCGTAAGTACTTCCCGTACTTAACAAGACAACATGGGGTTATGAAAGCTCAAAAAGGATGACACTAGTTTATTGCAGTTAGCACTTTTAGTAAGTCAAGATTTTATTATCAAGTTATGCTTAAGCACCTATTTAAACCCACATAATCAGATAGCAGAATCATTTGCATCATATTATCATCGTATACCATCATAAATGAACAACAATAAGTAACCAATTATTCTGTGAGTTTTTTGGGCCGCTCGTGACCGTGAGCACGGCTGTTATAACAATTTGTAACCCTCTACAGAGGTTGTGCACATTCACCACGAGTCGTGATTCCCATATGCCCGGGTTAATTACTCCCATATCACTGCCAAGGTGAGCGGGCAGGGTACACTATAAAGCCATTTCATAGGTTTCTCTAACAAGTTAGGGCCGCTAGGTTTCCTCGACAGACAGATGTAGGAACCCCCCTGTCGGATACCATAAAAAGGGGTACCCTAAGCAAGAACCGAAAAGATTGCTTAGACCTTGCAAATATCAAAGCCGAAGGACAACCACGAGGCCTCGGCCGATTCTCCGATTCGCCCGAGGCCCGCGCCGCAAAAGCCTCGGACGAAAAACCAACTCTCCGCCTCGCCGAGGCCCCCTCGCCCGAGGTCCTGCCCCTCAAGGCCTCGGACGGGTTACCGATTCTCCGATTCGCCCGAGGCCCCACGCATAAAGCCTCAGACGAAGTACCAATTCTCCGACTCGCTCGAGGCCGGCTCGGCAACAACCTCGTCGCCTCCGTCTCGACCGACTTCTCTGACAAAACGTCACGTCCAATTAACGCGTCCAACCACTCCCGCAACGTCAGCCGCACGTCGGCGCAAAGATGCGATGGAGTGGCCGACGGACGGGAGACAAGATCGGACAGGGGTACCGCCATCGTGCTCGCAGATCATGCTCATAATCGACGCCCCGTAATGCACTGTGCTACCTAACTCCTGCCCCAGGAACAACGCGGCGTGGGGAGGCAAGTCTGGGTCACTATAGCCTCGGAATCAGTGTATAGGACCAACTGCTCCCTCCAAGCCTCGGCAATCCACTTCAGGGTCTCGGTAGCCTCGGGATTCACGCCCACCGAGCCCCCCACGATGGCTCGGCCTCGGCACCAACTGAGCCTCGGCTTTTTACACTATCAACGTACAGCGACCGGTACGTCGTCGGCCTTGCCCTGCGCCAAGCTATCATTGGAGCTCCCACGTCGCACAAGATCGGGTGTGACTGGCGCGTTGCTCCAATGCATCAAGGACAAGACCGCTCCGTTGACCACGCCGCCACAGTAGTAAGCTATAGGGCTCAGACACGCCACCTTCGCTCACAAGATGCCGCATAGCAAACACATGTATCACCCCTGTCCCCCTTCAACTATAAAAGGAGAGACCGGGGCCGTTTCTAGAGACGGAAGACGGACGAACTCTCGCATAGGCTCACGTAGATTCAGACACACACGCTCCCCTGCTGCCTGAGAGCAACATCTCAAGCAGCCCACACCGCTCCACGCAGAGACCTGGGACTAGCTCCCCCTCTCGCCCAGCTTGTAACCCCCTACTACAAGCACTTCGGTGCAAGGAATACAAGATCGATTTCTCAGACAGGACGTAGGGCACCAATTGTCTAAACCAGTTTAAACCTTGTGTCTCTTTGCATCACCATCCGGGATTAGGGCACGCAGTTCAAATTCACTAGTTGGTTAAGGACCCCTCGGTCCAAAACACCGACACCCCCTTTCCTATGGCACATATCCATCGCGGCTATACACATAGGAACAGAGGCAGTCCTATACCCAACGTGGTAGCCCCTTTTGCGCCATAAAGGTAATCTCTAACAAGCTAGAAAAGGTCCTATTACTGAGCTAAAGTCAAAGCCATATGACCCTCATGGTTGCACTGTCAGTCCTAGCTTTTGCCGACAGATAAGTCCTTATGGAGGACCGAGAGCATCATGATCGAAAGTCATTTGCTCCTTCGCCCTATAATTCAGTTGTTTGAAAGCAAATTTTACGTTTTCGTTTCATAGAACCGTTGTTCATTATGTAGATCATGTACATTTACATTGAGCGCTAGCAAACTACCCATATGCATATAACCCATAGGAGAACAAGGAATAGGATAATCAAACACTAGGATGTCCTTACGGGTATCAAAATTAGACACATGCAAATGAGTAATTAATAAATGGTGAATAGGCATCAAGGTACATCCCATGCTATACTTACCTTGGTTAGCAAACTCCTGCTGGTCGTCAAAGAACTCTTGATCTCCAACATTCTCCTCACCGTCTGAACGCGACTAACACGACAACATACAACATTTCAGGAACATTCATGCAAAGCAAACTACCCTATTATTAGAACAGTACACCAATAGTATAGAAAACAAGATAAAATGTTTATGAAAAGAATCTATGTCTCGCTACGATCACGTCAACGCGAAGTTCACGAAAAATGGAGCTAAAACGCGAAAGTTATGAATTAAATAGGATTTCCTACAGCAATTTATTTAATTAAACCTAACCATGAAATTTAAAAGTTGCAAACATGGTTAACAGTGGTACTAACATGTAGAGAACTTTATTACGAATCTAACGCGATTTGAACGGGTCAATTCGGAGCTAAAACGACGATTTTATGAGCAAAACAGTGTAGTGGCATTTCTGTAATTAGTATGAGCTATTTTCGGATTTAAAATAAATAAAAAGGATATTCAGATTTAATCAACTGAGGGATGGCGGCCATAATTTGCTGAAAACTGAGGGGCTCTTTAGAAATTTTGCTAGGGCGAATGGGTATCGGCCTCTCTGGGCCGTTGATCAAGCAACGGACGGCTCGGATTAGAGAGGTGAAGAGAGAAAGGGAGGCGCCAGCCAGAACAGTGCTTCCGACGGCGGGGCACCATGGCCGGCGGCAAGGAGGTCACCGGCGCGCACGGGTTGGGGTCTACGGGCTACGGTTCGAAGAACCGAGGGCACCGGGGAAAAGAGGGTGTGCGGGC